CTCTTATTTACACACATGCATGCACACACACACACACACACACACACACACACACACACAGTCATTGCAGTGGACAGATGGAAAGATAATCTTTAAATGCATATTTCCATGTGATCGTGTTGCACCCTCTCCCTCAGAGGAGTGTGGCAGCAGAGGATGACCCACTCACTCAACACAGCACAAATGGTGACAAGAACATCTGTGCATCTGAGCATGCAAAGGAAAGAAACACTTAGCCTTACATAACAGAGCGGAGAAGAGGGGAAGGTTAAATTAGGAAACCAAGCTTCTGAAAGTAATAGTCTTTTTTTTTTTTTTCAGAAGATAGCTTTGCGTGACTGCATTTTGTTCTCTTGGCCGGACATTAAACTCACCCTTCTGATTCATGATGACTGACATTATTAGGGAAAAAAGATATAAGACTGTATTTGCAACTCAGAGTCCCAGTGCAGAAAGCCCACCTTCTCCATGTTTGCTAACCAAGGAATATCAAAACTTACTTAATTCATCTTCTTTTATTTCAAAAGAATCCAAAGATTTCGATATTCAGGCCCTTAATTTACAATAATTCATAACTCAAAGGAATTCACACATTCTCTCACATATGCACAAAAGCACCACATAGACCTCACCTTATTAAGAGTGAATGCATCCCAGACAATCACTTTTCCATCCTACATTAGAAAGAAAAAGCAGCATTACATACAAAAATAAATATACTACATACATAAATAGCATACAAATTAACATTGTTGAATTCATGTAAGATAATACTACATCTTAATGTACTGTATCACATCTCTATGTGTGTGCATGTGTTTTACCTGAGAAGAGCTGACTAGACGACGTTTGTCTTTACACCAGTCCATACACAGCACCTTGTTCCCATGACCCTTCAGCAGACGCTTGGTCTTTATGGAGAGAGCACCCAACACCTCGACCTTCTCAGCCACCTGGTGCACTGAAGTACCAACACAAACAAGTCAGTGTCAGGTTTATGAGAACTTAACAACAAACTTAATTTAAGTAAAGGTAGGAATGCTGCAATGTAAATATACTCCATCACCAGTGAGAGTTCTTCGTTCAATATCTAACAACAGAAACATAAACTACAGAAATACTGTCAGCAAGTATTAAAAGCAAAAGTACTGTGTTATTTTATTATATATTTTTATTATATATTTTTATTATATAATATAATATTATATTATGAAGACGGCTGTTTTTTTCTGACATTTTATGTGTAACTATTCAAATAAGGCATTATGAATATGCACTTATTTGCATTCATTTTGCACTGGATAAAACCAGGTTCAAGGTTCTGGTTTCATTTTGTTGACATATTAGAGTCAAAGAGAAGTTTGGATATCTGTTTTCACCATAAATCTGTCAACAGCCACAAAAAAAACCCTCCATTTTCCCTCATGCTTTTAGGAAAAATATGTTACATAAATCAGGCTACCAAATTATATATGAACAAACCCCTCTGTCAAAACCTTTAGAATATAAATATCTAAATAATAATTGGTGTGTGTAAGTAATACTGAAGTAGAGATTTCTGGCTCTGAGTATAAGAAAATATTTGAAGAAAACAGCCATTAAAGTAAAATGTATAGTAAAATTAATTTTACAAGCCATTACAGGGGAACAGGTTAAACATTTTAACTAATAGATATCACCATGAAACTCACAATTTGATGATCCTATTTACATTAAGACAATTCGTTTTCTGAATGTTCTGTTTAAATATGCAAATTAGGCATTATCTAATGCTAACTTTTGCTAAACTTAGAAGAACTGTACAGAGGCAAATAAACAAGGTGAAGTGAAATGAACAGCTTCTTTCCACCAGTCTGACATCATGTTACAGAAGCAAAACAGTTCTAAATCTCAGAATGAACTGAGTGTGTCGCGTGCAGTAAACAGCTCTGCGTTTCAGTAAACAGCTCTATGTTTCAGTAAACAGCTCTGTGTTTCAGTAAACAGCTGACAGAGTGCTGTAGTAGTTGTTGCTTTAATGTCGTCCCGGACACTTACACTCAATGTCGTTGAGCTTCCCCCGCTCCTCCTCCAGCTTCTTCTTCAGAGACTCGCTCTCCCTCTTCAGTGTCGCCACGGTTTCCCCACTCTGGAGCCCCTGACAAGCCATCTTAGAGAGGCAGCGAGCACAAAGACACAGAAGAGAAGAGAAGAGAAGAGAAGAGAAGAGAAGAGAAGAGAGGAGGAAGCGGAAAGGGGGCCGGGAGAGACACGGGAGAAAACGGGGGACAGTTTAGAGGGGATGGGACGGCTGGTTACAAGTTAGTTAATATGGTCCACGAGCGCGACAGTGATGCTGCCGCGCGTGTCAGAATCCGCTCGTGCTCTGCTTCAGCCTCCCATCCTCCCCTCCATCCTCCCTCCATCCTCCCCCCTCCATCATATTCAAGTTAGCGAGCACCGCAGGCATGTAGACACTGCTCTGCCCACGGTTCATTGATTGTAGGAGAGTTCATATATTTAAGAGATAATGTCTAACTTCCTCTGAGCTTTTCATTATATAAACTGCATTACAAGGTCCCTTTGTTGTATTTCTTTAATTGCAGTTTACTTATTTTGTTGTTTCTAAAGTGGTGTGTCTTTTAAACCTCTCTTCAGCTTTATTAATTACTGATGTAGCATGTCAAAGCACACTCAAGTTGTGCCACCTTACTCTTCAGTAAAGCATTTAGTTAAACATAAATTGTGATTAGATTAATAATGAGATTAAATGTAAAATGTCAGTAATTGCAGTTGCCAGTTTCCCCTAGCATTTAAACATATTTCAATTTAATTGGCTCATTTTCTCCAAGAGCTCATTCAAATTGAATCTAATATGGCAATGTTGACAGAGGAGACATTGTGAAAGAGTTGTCTGTAACATCAGATTTAAGGTTTATCTGCACAAGATGATGCAGAGTTTTAATCACAATGACTATTTTACTTTACTTTCATTGTTTTCTTGCAAACATGTTTCAGTATTTCCCTTAGAGACACTTAAACTCTGCAATAAAATTCTTTTAGGATCAATACTGGAGTCAAGTGAGTTGCTGACAAAGAGCCACAGATCAGGAGGAGGCTCCGTGGCATGCATCTATCTTATCAAGGTCCTTATAATGTTCTGTGTGTGTTAAAGACACATTAATATGGCTGCTTTGTCCTCAGCTATAAACAGATGTTACTGCTCATCCAACTAAAGATACCCTTCATATGTAGAAGCTTGGCTGATAGATAAACATGAGCGTCTGTTGCCTGTAGCTTCAAGGCCAAGCGGTTGAAACAGTGTGCAGACTTTAATGCATTTGTATGGATTTAATCTCTCTTTTTCCATTTTAAAAATCATCTGTCAATATGTTATTGATTGGTGTACAATGTTGAATGACCAGGTCAAATGAATGATTAAATTGAATTAGCAGTAGATAAATATTTTGTTAAGACACTTCATCCAATTAAATTATATAAAAAAGCTTTCACATACAGCAAACATTGCCACCGTTTATAATGAAATGATGAGGCAGCCGTTTAGTTAAAACCTCACGTACCACTTCCACACAGAAGGAGCAGTAGTTGATGGCTTCATTCTTAATGTAGATGTTCATTAGCGGACTGGCTTTCCCACAGCTGTCGCAGGGGCCAAAAGTGGCCGCCAAGAACGTCTGGTCACACATGGCTGCAGATGATCAGCAACACGCCCTGTGGAGAACACAGACACAAACATAAAGATTTATTCAGTCATTAATATTTAGTTTTATTGACTCATGTGCTGGGCTGTGACTGCTCGGTGTGTGTTTGTGTGTGTTTGTGTGTGTGGGTGGGCCAGGAGATAAGTAGTTGGTAATCTACTCCAGCCTGATCCTTCTCTGAGCTCCAGAGGAGAGCAGCACAGCTATTCTGGGAACCGCCAGTGGAACACAGTACTGTACATGATAAACACTTTGCAAAATCAAACCATAACTGAGTATGACCTCTCACATCCGAAACAAATAAAAAATACTTCCAGTGTTTACATATTGATGTAAGATACAATAACTTCAGAACACACTTTTATTTCCTTCACTTTGTTCTATTTCATTTGTAAAAAAAAAAAAAGTCAGGAAACTTACACATTTCAGAAATTATAATCTTATTAAGAAGATTTACCCATTCCATTTATACCAATATAATACAGGGTACAGGATGTATGTATAATAGAATAAAATGATTTGATATTATAGTTTATTAACCACTTGAACTCAAACTCAGTTTATCACATTGTAACCTCTATCAAACTCCACCTGTCCTAAATATAGTTCATTTTTCTACTTCACAGGCTCATTTAAGTTATAAACTATACACTCTCGTGTTACATTTACACCTCAGATTAAATCATTTGTACCTTTATGTAAACACAAAACACACCAACATCAGTTACTGTTACAGTTACTTTCACAAATATCAGCCGTATCCAAGATAAAAACTTACCTCACTAGAGACTGTTTTCCCTCTCTGTACTGCAGGTATTTGTCCCTGGAGAACTAAGTGGAGTTTTTCCAGTGAAGAGGATTGTCAGTGAGGTACAGAGAGGGAACAGTAAGCTTCTTAGTGTTTAAGCTGTGACTCTGCACTGCTTTTACCTCCATGCTTCATACGCTGCGTAGCTTTACCTGCAAGGCCTGGAAAGTTGTATTTACATCCTAATCCAATACACAACTCTGATTTCATATTTAGAAATCCTTAGGATGACCTGAAACTGCATGGTGTCATATTATTGTACATTACATCACCTCATTGAAAAGATTATACAGTCAAATCTGGATTAAAAGGCAACATTTGATCAATTATAAAATGGTAACGTTTGTTCTCCTTTTTGTACACTGTTGCAAGTTTATGTTGTAATCAGATTGGTGTAATCCCATTAAATGTAATCTATTATCATCTAGCTCCAATTACTTGCAGTCTTAAGGACTTAAATTAAATTTATTTAATGACCAGGCATTTAGTAATATTAGTTTTCTGCAACTAATTGATGACATTTTCTTAATAAGTTTCTAAAAAGACAAAAAACAGAAATAATCTCCCGCAGACAATATGACAGTGCTGAATTCTTTTATTTTACTTTTACAGATTTGACATTTTATTCCAAGTTTCTTAGTTTCTTAACGGTGAACACATTCACTAAGCACAGCTACCAGAAACTACAAACAGTCCAGTTTGTCAAATGTACACATGGGTCAGAGAGGAAACATTTGGTACTGGCTTCAGCATGTTCACACCAGTACCACAAATAGCTGGGGTGATGATGAGATATCTTTTTGTTTTTAAAATGGCACAATCAACGCTAGTGCTGATAAGAACAATGGTTATTTATAATGTCTACGTCATATCATACAACCAACTCTCTCCTTAATGTAAAAACGCAGCGTAAAGGAATGACATTTTCTTCTGTCAGAGCAGAGAAGAGAAGCCCAGGGGAACAAGGCGCCGCACCTCTGCTTAACAATACCAACCAATGAATGAACATGTTTATTTTCCCCCTCTGAAACAAGGCCAGCCTTCCCACTCTGCACTCTCAATACATCAGTCCACAAGGATAGTCTGACTGACTGACTCTGAGCTGGCTGGTGCTGCATCCATGAAATTCACAAGGATGTGTCTTCTTACCTGTGGCTACTGATTGATAAGCGCCCACTCACACAGGGAATGTGGTAGAGGAAGCTTTATGGGCCACAGTTCAGTAAAGAGGGGGGTGGGAATCAAAGGAAGAAAGGCTCTCTAATGTGAAGTATTTCAGTCCATACCCATCTATCATTCATCTGACTTCCTAAGCAATGTCTTAAAAGTGCATTTTGACTGAAGGCTAACCAGTGCAACCCATCTGTGACACCCACTGTAGGACAAAAGGACACCTTATCAAAATAAAAATGATCACATTTAACAATTTATATCCATTTTACAGAGGGGGGGGTGGAACACTGGGAGAACAAAACAATGCCACAATGTTGATCATGTGTTTAAGTCATTCAGATAGCAATTAATTCAGATAAGGCGTTGTCCACAATGTGCAGCTAAAATCATGATACACTTCATTAACAATTTTAAACATTCATATGGTTAATTATTTCCTTCAGTTACCATCCTTCTTGCTACAACCTGCAGATATGTATTCTTTACACAACCCATACTCTAAACTAGCAATTAATCCAAAATATATAACAAAAGGCAAACTGATAACATGGTCCCGATAAGAGAGTATGGATATCAAATTCTTTCCAAATACAAGTGCAACACAAAACGACTTTACTTACTAAATTCTTTTTACTCCACTTACAATTTGTTTTTGTCTGCAGCTTGTTCCTGTAAGAGTGAGGGTGGCATTTAATGAGATACCTTGGTAAAATATTTGTATCATTACCAGTTCACTCACTGATATTAACCCCTGGCTCTCACTGCTGTAAAACATTTTGATCTAAGCTTCTTCAGTTGGTTGGCTGCTTCGTAAGAAACATTTTTAGATTTCATAAAACATTACATCAAAACAAAAAGGTACCGAGTCCAGTTTTGGTGACCGTTCACTATCTCCTATATATTTAAGCACCTTACAAAAAGAAAATATTTAATCAAAGCAAAATATCCATATGAAAGGGTAAGGTAACATGAGGCAAAAATATGGTTCATGTGAGGGCGAGAGGCAAATTTGGTTGACTGTTAATACTAATGGCACAGCAGGAAGTAAACAAGCAAAAGTGCTAAACAGGAGGCAGCGAGGATAATGTGAACAGACAAAGACTTTTTGTAACAACATGGGCAGATTCCCTGACACTCATCCATCGACTCTCAACTGCACCGAGGTTTCTCTGTACAAAAAAACCCTAAAACAGCAGCATGCGGGTTCATTTCTGGTAACTGGTAATGCACATAAAGCTAAGCTCATGCAGGTTAGATGAAGGCAGCAGCAGCGGTGCATGCTGTGCAGGTTTTATACCACACTGTAGCCATACTGACCGAGTAACAGGTGTGGTGCAATGTCACCCTCAGCCTTTTAAAGCAAGTACCAAATATGTCTGTATATCTGAACTAAAACAACCTGAGCACCAAACAGAAAGGATACAAATGTATTTCTCTGTCAGTAACCCTGAACTTTAACCCCTACAGTGCAGATGAGACGTGGAAAAAGCGCAAACGTTCCACATATTCTGTTGTTTTTGGTAACAAAAGCCCATGTTGTTCTTTCTTGGCCATGAAACGGGAAGGCATAGGGTGGGGGTGTAAGGAGTGGAGATGAGAGGACTCGGTCCACAAAGCTGCAGTAAGTGTTAGTGTGGGAATAAGTCAGAAAACATTGTAAAGCTGGACAGATTTGAGGCAAACTCTCCAAAACCAACTTCAGAGACACCTTCTGCTCAATGATACATGGCTTTACGATATGCATAACTCTGATACTCAAGAAAATGACAATACTGAAATAAATAATTCCACAATGATAATAGTAAAACATTTTCAAAACTCTGACTAGAGCTGTGACCAGAGAAGACAAGTAGAGGGAAGAAAGCTCTCGGAGTGTAAAACTCCCAGCGACACAGCGGTAAGCAGAGCGTAATGTGTGTGTGTGTGTGTG